GTTATTTGCTAGTGAAAAAAAAAAAATATATTAAGTTGCTGCATATATTGTATGTGGCACAATGCAATAGCACATCAGTCCTGTGAGAATTTATTGTGTTTTTTCCTATTAACTTCTAATTAAGGCTGAGTGATTTTTTAGAAGAGATAAATTCTGCACCATCTTTCTTAGTGAGATTATGAGGTCTAAGTCCTGTCAGGACTAATCCAAACAGGAAAAATTCTCCAATTTCATTCAGACTAAGAATATTCAGTTGGATTTGGACCTCTTAGAGAAGTTTAAAGGGAAAAAGAGTCAAACATTTTAGGTTTATACAGTTTTACATTAGGGAAAGCTCACAAAGTAAGTGAGGTTTTTGATTTGCACCAGGACAATGTTTGCTGTCCGTCTGTAACATTGTATACGTGTTATTTCCAACTTAAATCCTTGGTCACATCACTTTATGTGGGCTGCATGAGAAAGCAAAGAGACAAACTTCCTCATCCTTGTTTTTAAACTTTAGGAGTTGTGCATGACTTGAGTCATTTTTTTTATGAATGCAATTATTTGCTGCTGCAAGTGACAGAAGGGATCTCCTGGAATGGAGGGCACTGTTTCTAGAGCAGGAAATCATGTTATTGACTAAGACAAAAGCTGAACTGAGCAGGAGTGGCCAGCTCTTTGGGGCTTTATCTCAGGCTATGCTCTCAACTTCTTGTGGTGGGAGATGACAGGACTGTGCAATGTGAACACATGAGGTAAATGTGAAAGAAGGTGAAGTTTTCAGAATTTAGAAGGTATTTGGTTTAATCCACACACAAAGTGCTCCCTAAATTAAGAGTCTGAAAACAGTTCTGTCCCAGCCTTAAATATCTGGAGGATCTCTAAGGACAATGAAGTGAAATGCATCTGTATACCTGCATCTCTGCCACACCACTCCCTCCCTGTTACAAATTTATATTTCTAGCACCATTTGCTAATATTATTTCATCATTATTATATTAACAAGCCCGTTGATCATCCTGTGGTATTACATACTTGCATTACACTACTTCAGAGGTTGGAGTAGGTACAGCACCATTTTAATCACCTGGGAAATGAAGTAGAAATGACCTCAGCATGACTCAAAGATCAGTTAAACTGCAGGAAAAATACTGTCAATAACAAGGTGTTTGTTTTTAGATAGCAAGTTTACAGATTTGTTTCCAGTAACATTTCCTATGCAATAAACTGCCTAATTAAGGTCTCCCATCTCTGTATTTTAGCTCACGTCATGACATCTGTACAGCAGTATTTTGTAATTGAATAATAGTAAAGATGCAAATGCAAGTATTTGGATTTTATTCATAGGTGTGAAAGCATGTTTTACCATTAATCATTCAGTCCAAGAATTCAGTTATCTTAAAAGGAAACTAAATTTTTCAATGACAAGTAGCACTTAGGACTAAAAACTCAGCATTCGCCACCAATAAATCTAATCCACATGCAATAAAGAGAAGAATTTTGCTGACGGTGTTTTATGACTTGGTGCCACTATAATATTTCATCTGTTTCAATGTACGCATATAATCAAAATAAAGAAGTAACAGTAGTATGCCTGTTTTGTGACATGGTAGCTGGCATTCTTAAAGATTGCTCCTATGAGTGATGCCTTTGTGTACTATACATTATAGCAATTTTTCTAAATAATAATTAATATTTAATTTGTTATCCAGAAACACAAAACATTCTATAGACCTTTTGCAAAAGAATGTTAAACTTCTTTCTTAAATACACACGATGAAAGGAGAAATATTGCTTTGGCTTTGAGAGGTAATTCAGCTGCTTCTAAAGAATATTCCACATGTCTGTCAAGGAAAAGGTTGAAGGCAATCCCTTGCAAGTAGGCAATAACTATCAGGATGCATTAGGTAAAACTAACTCACACAGTATCCTCATACCCTCGACCTTCCACATACATTTGTAGGTAATGTTGATGCTTCTGACAGCATACAAAAATCCTCACAGTTCTGTGGAAAGATATTTCAGTTCTGCATTGAAACTGTATTTTCTGTGGTATTAAAAGTCAGTCATTTTTGTAAGATACAGATTTTGAGTTTTGTGGCAATATAATGTATGTTATAACCCACACTGTGCAAAATATAGCCATTATCTTCTAATGCTCAGAGTAAGATAAGTAAGATAAGTTTCTTCTCTGCGGCAGTTAGAGAACAGTCTAATCTGGGTCTAATCATCAATGTCTGGCAGTTAAGAAGCAGCCACTTAAATTAAACTGCCAAACACTCTGAAAGGTAGTTTCCGGATCCCAGCTTTAGCATTTAGATGTTCCTGTAATAGAGAGAGGCAAGTGGACTGAGAAGATGAAAACAAAGACTCTTACAAGAAACAGCTTTCTAGACCAATGGGGTTTTTTACTTGTTTCCAGAAAAAAATCCCTGTTGGAAATGTGGTGTGAGAGTACGTATAAATAGAGCATGCTGCTTTTACATGAGCCCTGTTTTGAATGTATATTGATGTTAAGCTGGATTTATGGAAATGCCCGTATGTTTTCCTTTATCCTTAGATGTTGGTAAAATTAGAAAGGTTAATTTGGTGTTTGTTTACTATCAATCTATCTCATTCTGCATTTCAGAAATGTACCCTTTTAATCTGTGTGCAGGCATAATGAAAGAAAGTAATAAAATGCAGATTTTGTAAAATATGTAAAATGTCAAATGCTGACCACACTCCATGAAAAACTGCAGGCTTTATACAGAGCTATGCATTCCGTCAGCATATATATTGTTCCTGTTTAGTCAGAAAAAATATTGCTAGGGATAAGGGAGGGAAACATGGGAGCGCTGGACTATTTTTTCACTCTCACCTTTGAGCTACCAGCCTTTCTGCACTAATTCCCCCAAGTTTATCTGTTGCTGGAAGCAGTATTGGGTGACTCAGCGGAAAACCTCCTGGGAGGGGGACTTAACTTACCCATGTGCTGGTGCACTGACCCTCCGTGCCCAGAATGTGGCAGTACATCTTGTGGCCCACTTTTGCGATCTCCGTTGCATGAAGCCCTCTCCATGGGTAGGTCTGATTTATAAGGTGTGGCTCTGGTTCAACAGACCTCACAAATATCCAAGGAAATTACAAAGGCTGAAGGAGAGGAAGGGGAAAAGGAGGGAAATTTATTTGTGCATGAGCAGAGGATGGATTTTGGAAGTAGGCTTTTAAACAAATTCATCTTAGTACTTTTAAAAGCTCTAAGTTTTTGTTGATGTCCAGAAATATGACTTACTTCCATCAAGGAGGCTGTACCTGTAGACTGTAGAAGTGTTAAGGACCAGTATGCTGTTAACTCAGTATTTTCTTCTCACAAAGTTAAATGGCATCACCATGTTACTGTCAGAATGTTCTGTCTTTTACTACCAGAAGCTGCACATCTTATGAGAAGACTAACTTTGGGGATCTGTGTTCTGGGACAACGACCACAAAAAAATTAGGATAGGTTAAGGGAAACCGCTATTCTTACAGCACTCTGAAGATGTCCCCCAAATTGTTTGTGTCCCTGGGACAACCACATTTGGCTCTCAGAAGTCCCAAAACAGGCTCTATCATTTGAACTGTCTGTATGGGAACTCAGTCAGGTGATAAGCAGAATAACTCAGGAACAATCTGTTCCTGGAGTATTCAGGGTTCTGAGGGAAGGAGAGTATCTACAGGTTTTTAGAAACCTGAAATTGCATGCCTGTCTCCCCTTCTTGTCTAGTAAATGTTTCTGTCACTTGAGACCTATGCCTAACCAGGCAAGGATTTTAGGACTGTACCAATTAAGCATGGAAAGATTTTTCTTGCATATAAATTTTCCCTAATTACAGTGAGTCATCATCACTAGATGCTTCAGGGCTTTAATGCAGTATTTTTCTCTCTCTCCAAATTTCAACATTATATTGGGAGATTGTCACAAAAGTATTTTCCAGATGTCCCCAAAAATAGGAATGAAAGAACTGTGACAATTTAATAGAGACATTTCTAGACGACTGGAGTCATGCACTCCTAAGGATGATCAGATATAGACTGACTGTGACAATGGATGCTCAGTGTGTGCCCGGTGCCAAGCTGCTCCATAAAGTTTCCCTTAGGTGAAGCCTATCCTGTAATAAAAGACAGTAAACCTAGTTGCATGACTTTTATTAGTTGTGGTTTCACACTGTGATTTTTTGTTTGATCAGTGCCAGAGATATTGTGATGTTAAGATTGAGAAGTGGATAGGATGAGGCTGGGTGTCTTAGTGAGGACTGTTGTAGTGTCTCAGAGGGTTATGCCTTAGGAGCTTTATGTCTTGGTAAACTGGCAGATAGGGAGCTCTCAGATGTATGTCAATGGGATGCAATGGAGGACTCAGAAAGTACTAGGAGGTTTTGAACTTTCATAATAATGTTCCAACTAGTGCCCAGATTTCTCTGAGACTAGAAGAAGGTGAACAGAACTGAAGAAATTAATTATTCAGACTAATCTGACAGGCATAGCCGCTCAGTACAGCAGAGAAGAATGTTTTGTGTTTCAAGGTCTCTTTTATTACTGTTTTTTTCCTTTCCTCCTGGAAAAATTGTCTAGAACATTTCTAGACCATTCTGTAGAAAGAGAAAGTGCTTTAACAGTTCAGATCCACCTAAAAAGCAGGAAAGAATATTTCAGATATTATGTGCAACATTTTTCTAAATTGCATTTTTCTTTCAAGAAGGGCTACCAGAAATATAAGGCCTTGAAAACTTAGTACTCATTTCTCTTTTTTGTTAACTCCACCTATCCCCAAACTTGAAAATGGAAGATGCAGCCCTAACAGAGTAAACCTTTTTAGAAGTTCATAAATCAAGCCAAAGTAATTCATGTGCAACTTTATGGTAATAACTTATGTTTCAAAACAAGCATATTGGTCATAAAGCTGGTCTCTAAGAAGGTATTGATTTAGCTTCACACATTTTTGAGTTAAATGTTAACATGAACGATTTTTTTTCTTTTTTTTTTTTTCTTTTTCCCAGAGCTAGAGGCAGAGGAATGGTGCAAACATCTCTGCATGGAGTGTCTAGGAACCAGGCTCAATGATATAAGTCTTGGGGAACCAGATTTGCTTGCTGCTGGAGTCCAGAGAGAACAAAATGGTAAGTAACTCTCAAGCCACTCCTAGATTAGCTCTTAGGCGATGTCCTATGTTATCTTTTTTGTGTTTGTTGGAAGGATTTTTACTATTGGCTAAACCATAATATCATTAATAGCTAAATAATTTGAATGTGTTTTTGAGGCTTAATCCTATTATTCCTACAAATAAAGATGATTAAATTCCATGCCAGATAGCTCACATAGAGTGACTTCATGTCTTCTTTGCATTCACTTTTTGCTGTCATAGGAAATTATGACTATAATCCTTTTGGTTCTGAAAACAATGGCCTCTGTGCAGAACAATAAAACAGCAGCTGTTGTTCCACAGCCTTTAAAAGACAGCATGAACATATCAACACTACTTTGGTCTGCAAAACACATGCTTGCTTTAAGCTCATACCTGTCTTAAGTAATTAATTCAAGGTCATCTAAATGTTGTCAAATACAGGCGAAAAGGGCAGTGACAGATGCTAGTCAGCATTAAGCATGAGCTTGCAAGTCTTCATATGAAGACTATTTGGAACAGAACTTTGGATTATATGTGTACAGGAAGGATGCTAGTGCATGGTACTTGCAATAACAAAAGAAAATCTGTGATTGTCCTTTCATTTAATTCCTATTAATGAGCATGATGGCAACACAAAATGTGCTCATTTATTTACTCTCTCTATTACAGCTCTTAATGATTATTACTCTCTTGAAGCTTTTACAAGATCCAATAGCTTTTAACAAAGTAATAAAACAAACTGCCTCAATGGTCATAAAATATCAAGCCAACTATCATTATAAACAAAAATAAGTAGTTAAATTATTGAATGAATAGCACTGTATTAATTATATTGTATTAATTTTGTAGAAGTGTCCAGACATCTCTGAACCTAATGGCATAAAATATAGAGAAATCTTTAAGAATTCTTTTTCAAACATCAGACATGTTCAAGTGCAATTTAAAAGAAGTTAAAAACGTTTGTGAAGTTGTTTGCCAGCTATAAGACATAGGACTTAATTTGTAGTCTCGAAATACTTAACAAAGGGAGAGCTACTAATGTAGGAAAGTGCTAATGAGCAAACACTACTCAAAGCATCCTATCAGCTATATGCTCATAGGCTGTAGGTATAAAACTCATATGCATGCTGTTAAAGAGAAGTATGAGAGCAGATGGAACTCCTTCACAAATGCAAAATGGACCAAATCATCAAAAGCATGTGATGTGAGCAGAAAAATAGCTTGAAATTCCTCAAGCTTTCTGCAGTGAATTCATATACTGTCCAGCAGCTTTCAGACATAGATGGCAAATATTACATTTCATCTTGTTCTGGAAGGAGATCCAGTTACACACACATGACCTCCAGAAGACATAGATTAGTTCTGTTGTGTGAACTAGTCTTGATGCAATTGCCTTAGACTAGAAATTAATTGCAGTGCTATCAACCAGTGTATATGAACATAATTAGCATCTTTATTGTTCTAAGTAAATAAATGAAAAGAAACAAAGAAGCAAAGCATGTATTTGTTGTACAAACCAAATGAATAAGAATGCATGAAGAGTATTATTAGACATACTCTTTTAAATCAAGTGGCTGAATATGTATAATTCAAATATTTGACAAGCATCCTCTGTTAAATCATTAGTTACAGTATCTCAGACAAGTAATTCCGGTACCTATGCACTTTCTTCCCCACATTTTTTATGCACAATTCTGCATTTTAATAAGCATTTGTAAAAGTCAAAGTTGTTTGAAACAAAACAAATTCTGTGTAGGGAGTTTTTTAATCAACTTGGGGGGGCAGAGACTATTCATATGAAATTAGAATTTTGTTCATTTTGCTGTGCTATAAGAACATGCAGTTGAACTCAAATTTCTTTATCAGGTTTCTTCAGTAAAATAGTTGAGTGGAGCCGTGACTTCAGTTTGTATTAGTTATCTTATTCTGCAAGCTTGGCAGTGTCATTCCCCACATGACAGTGTTATGGAAAAGGTGACTAATTGGAGGGTGGAATCAATTTGTGAGTTATGGTTAAAAAACAAAAAGAATTCTTGTACATTTTTCCCATATTGTAGCTTTTAAAGGCAAAACTGGAAAGTTGTGGTTCCAAGGGTACCTAAAAACCTTTCAAAAGTATACTGAGCTTTTGCTGACTTTTTGCTGGCCTGAAACTGAAAGGTCAAAGTTAATTTTCCAATTTGAAATTCATGAAAAGTGACTATATGTATGAAATGTCTAAACCTTGCTCTTTGTGAAAATGGCAGATGTGTCACTCTTGCGGTCTTTTTGTGTGTGTGTGTGTGTGTGTGAGTGTGTGTGTGTGTGTGTGTGTGTGTGTGTGTGTGTGTGTGTGTGTGTGTTAAGTAAAAATTGTACACCAGTACAGTACACCTATAGTACTCATTGTTTCCAAACATTTTTCAAGTATGTCAACTTCATATTATTCCTCTTGAGTTAGTCAGTGTATTAATATTTACTTGAAACAGAAATGTGGGAATACTGTTTGTATAACCTGTGGTAGAATCATAAAGCCTCAGCATCTAGTTTCATGCATGTTCTGTTGCCTGAACCATACAAAGGCTTTCTTTTAGGTCACTGAGCAAAAAATGTCTCTTAGTATCTGAGCAAGATTACAGATCGCATTGTCATAAAGACTACAGTGCTAGTGATTTTTCAGTTTTAAAAATATTTGGGTTTTTTTACATTTTAAGAGCTAAAAGCAATTGAATAATGGTGTTTTGCTGTTGATATCTCTCTGACATGACAGGGTGTTAATAACATCAGTCCCAAAAGAACAGGTGTATTAACCATTAATCCCACCTCTTTTAATTCCACTGTCTTTCTCACCATTAATTCCACTGTCTTTTTTTTGAATCATTATTTTGCCCTAATGATTTTCTCAAATGTTTAAAATTTTATATACTTCCTTGATCATAAAAGAGCTAACCTATGGGCAATAATATTTTTACTATGCTATGTCCTTCATGTGTCTAACTATTCGCCTGTTCCTGTCCTTAAGGACGTTTTCATGATGTATGTTATGTATTTGTAAGGGTATTCATTGGGGGGATGAAGTAAACTTGCTATCTCAGGAAAAAAACAGTGTAGTTTCTATTGTATTGATGTGTGTTTTAGCAGCTGTATGTGACCACTGTAGCCAGTGCTTTCAGTTTGCAACGTTTGTAAGGACCATAAAAGTTGCTACTTATGTTTCTTTTATACCCAAGAATTCACATTTCAGAAAATACTTGGCAAGGAAAATATATTTGCTTTACTGGATTTGTCTAATACCTCTTTTTGTTATATATGAGCCTGTTCATCTTCCTGCTCTCACTCTTGTGGTTTTGAGATGAGCTTTTGATTTCAGCAGGAAAGACACCTGATTCTTTGTGACACAAATGCAATAATCTGGTTTTCAAAACTGCTGTTTGGTGTGCAAATGTTGTGGCTAAAAGACCATACATTCATAAGGCATTTCTGTCATATGAGATTAAAAACTTACGGCAGTGCAGCAATCTGAAAGAGATGGGGGGGGGGGGGGGTTTACAATTCTAAGCTGTTCAGTAAGTGCTAGTGAGATCTATTTTATTGTAGTTGTACTGTTGTGTGACCCTCCAGCACCAAGCAATTCTGCAGTGGTGATAGCTGAAAGAACTGAACTGTAGATCTGCACTGGTTATAGCAGAGACTTCTAGCTATTGTGTCTTGCAGGAAGAATAGAGAAGACATCTAAGCATTCTTGTGCAAATCACATCAGTAACACAAAGCTTCTCACTGGATTTCATCTCTGTTATTACTTTCAAGAAGTATTACTGCAAGTCTTGTGTAAACTCTCCTGTAGAAAATGACCCTTAGGTGGTTTTCTTTTTACATTTAAGGCTCACAACTAATGGCTGCTTAGTTTGCAATGGTATGCAGATTCCAATAAAAGTGAGATTTGGAATGGAGCTTCTGTTACTCTCCAACCATTTTACCTTCTTTCTCCTGCAAATCCAAGTGATTTGTTTGTGTTCCGCAGCCCTATAGCAGCAACCCTGTTTGTTTCTGTTTTAATTTATTTCTACTCGAGAATCTCTAAGTGTTTATGAATGCCCATTTAGATTATTTGATAAAGAATAAAAATATAGTATTAAAATCAGTAAAGGCTAAATGATCCTGTTCAGGTAACTAATTTAGTATAATGGCAGTGGAGCTATATATACAATGGTAAGGCAAATATTAATGCACAGTTATAACTTCAGAAAAGAAAATCTGGACTCAGTAATGCTGGATCTGTTGACAAGTAGTTTTCTAAGCAATATCCTGTGATACTGACACACACATTTCATATCCCTTAGGTTTCTTAAGCTGCTGCTAGGAAAAGAAATCTTAAATGTAGAGTGCTGTCTTCATTTGGGAGAACTGGAGACTTACTTTCCAGCTCTTAATGCATTTAGAGGCTTTTGTAATACAGTTCAAAATATAACAACAAAACAAGTCTATTTTTTAAAAATATATTTACCTGCTTGCCTTTTATCATATCTAGAATTTGTTCATGCTCTTGTGTAGTTGGTCAGTTGGTTTTTAAATATCACTATTTCCAACATGTCACTATTTTCTTTCTTTATAAAAGGAGGTAATTTGAAAGAAGTCATCCAAGTAGATAATAGATAATGACAGACTATGTTTACTGAGAAAAGAAACCAGAATATTTAAGACAATATTGGTTAAAAAAGCATTATATGTGCACAGTGCAAATAAGTTCATTTTTTAAGAACAGATGCTTCCCTTTGGTGAACTTTCCTAGCTCTTTTGAATGCTAAATGATAACACTGTAATAGCATAATACTTGCACTAAATCATATTCCATTAAACTTTTCTTGTAAACTTGATATAAATACTGAAGAAAGTAGGCAAATATAAGGCAATTTTTTAAACTGAAGAAAAGGCCTGATCCATCTTTGGTGCTGTAGCTCCGTTATTGTAGGTGTCATGCCTGTGATGTCAATATGATGCTTTTTTATTATGTGTTAC